TGTCGACCGCACCGCTCAGCTTGGTGTTGTCAGTTCCTTTAAGTATCTCTTTCTGAGGCCAGTTACCCTCCTATTACCCACTCTTGCTATTGGCATTATCTCAATCAGATGTTCCACACTCTGGAGGAATACATTACAGGGCCATGCCAAGCATTTTGGCAGTAACTTTCCACCAGAGAAAGGAGGTGTGGTAGAGAAAGTTCAGAGATGCTCCTTCGTTCTGCCAGGAGATGCTGCTACTACGTGTCAAAGCTGACTCAAATGTCAGGAACAAGTGAACCACAAAGAACGGAAAAACAGCTATTTTCATCCTGCTTCCCAAGAGGAGATAAAAGGTTACAGCACAGCTATTTCAGGCACTACAGAGACTGAGTCAAAAGAATGGGTCAGAAAGAGTGCCTCTCCTTGCTTCTCCCAGCACATCCATCTGTGACAATGCCAGCACAGAGGACAAGATTTAACACCTCTAGTTCTACAAACAAAGCTTTATCACAGGCTTGGAGTTACAGGCCTGGTTGATACACGTTACAACGGTAGGCTAGCAAGGAAAGAGATCTACCAGCAAGCAGGCTGCATGTGATTCTAACATTTGTCCTTCTCCCTGGGTTTTGGAAAGCATCACATTCACACTGACTTGTGGAAGATGAACAGCTGACCTGATCTGGCACAGACTGGTAAGATATTCCTCCCAGTGACTCAAAACCAGCATTCCTTGTCTGATCTTTGTGCAGCATGGACCTGAAAACTTCTATTTTCTAAAAGCAAGCCATTTGGTGCAGAACAATCACAATGCTTTTCCCACTGACTCAACTGCTTTTGCTATCAGCTATGTGAAAGTTTTCCACTGACTGAGTTAAAAAGTAGCAACTTTGCTATGATTTAGTTTTTCTTTAAAGTCAAACTGGTAGCTTGCATTACTTCATCACTAAAACCTCACCATTTAAGTCATTAATGAAGAGGCTAAACAGGATTGAACACAGTGCCAAACCCTGCAGAACTCCACTAGCAACAGGCCTCCAGCTGGGCCTTCCCGCCACTGATCACAATTCTCACCAGCAGTACAGCAATTAGATGAGCAGACAACAAGTAGGATGGCAAACAACCTCAACATTTCTCATCCACCTCAGTGTTCACATATCTAGTTTGCATTTCCTCAGTTTACCTATGAGAAAGTTAAGGTAGACAGTTGAAAGCTCTACCGAAGCTGAACCAATCACATCTACCAAGCCAGTCATCTCTGTAGAAAGCTGCCAGGGTGGTTAGGCATAATGACTAATAGACATAATCACCTTCTTGTTTTTTAACATGCTTGTAAACTGTTTCTAGCTATTTATTTGATCTCCTTTCCCAGAACAGAGGTGAGCTGACTGACCCACTCATGGTTCTCTCCTTAAGAAGATTCCTTTTGGAAGATGGGTGGAACTTGCTTTCTTCCTTGCTCAGCACAGCCCTCCCAAGATAACCAACAGTGGCTTTGCAGCGGTAACAGCCAGTTCTCTTACCACTCTCATGGGTGCATCTCAATAGGTGCCATAGCCTTGCTTATATGTTTCCCAGCCTGATCCTCCCCACCTGCACAGTCTTCTCCGCTTTCAGCTTTCCCACCACAACCCTGCTGCTGGACTAGCTCAAGACTGAATCTAGATGTTATCTCCACCCAAATCTCACACCACATAGGATCACAATGGCCACATCCCTCGGAAAGGTTCTTTTCCATCAAAAATGCTTTCACTTCCCTGAGTCAGTAAGTCCCACCATAACAGACTCTGAACAGAAGTCGTTCCTTTTCCATTTCTCCAATCTTAACTATTACTCAGACTCACTGTAATGTAAACTCTACCACTTTTCTTTACTCAGGGACCAAATGATGCTGTTCATCACTGCCACCACTCACCCACACAATCAGGCACTTGTTCAGCTCTCTCCTACTGGTGGTGATTTACCAACATTAAGCCTCCATGGGTCTGCAGCGTCTATTGCTCTCAGGAAGGCCAACAGTCTTTCTGCTCCCCATTACCATACCCAGAGATTATAAAAAGCATATTTATTTGTAACAGGATAATTTCTATGGCAACTAACCTCCAGGAAAATCACAGCCAACAGCTCCAGGATGAAAAACCGGGCCAAGGAATTTACTGAGGGAGACCGATCAGCACACGCAGCTCTGAGAAATACTGAAATCTGCCAAATTTCTCTCTGAAGAAACTGTAAGCGTAGGTGTCTGCAGAATTCCCATCACAGCTCATCTCCTAAGTTGGACCAATGACACTACCACCCAGCTGTATCTCAGCCTTTTAAATACTTGAAATGTTTTAGTTACCTTTCAGAACAGCATTACAGCAACATTTCTCCAATGTACACTAATTCACCTTTCAGACTACTTACGCCAAAAGAGAAGTAGCATGCTCCAATTCTTTGTAATAAGATGGTTTTCTCCTTACACATCTTCCCACCATTCCTCTTCCTCCAACACACATTGGCCACTTACTGCACGTAGGGAGCCCAAGACCCAATCACTTGTGTTCTGCCCAGACAGCACATTTCAAGCCCTTGTTCATTGCCACTGTTGAACAGACTTGCACAGGTTCACTCTCCAAACATATTTGTTATTGAATTCAGTAACACATTTTGATTACCCATATGTTATGAGATACAAAAGGTATACATACCTCAGCATTGCTCAGGCTTGCTCATCTCCTTTGCATAGATGTGGTCATAGCTATAATCCAAACATCTTCAGTAAAGATCTAGAAATACTTTAGAAATATATATTCCATGAGAAAGAGGAGAGTCAAGGGAGGGTGGGACATAGCATTTGTTGGCTCCTACATTTGCAGACAACTGCATTCAGTAGCGTGGGTCATCTTCACAGCAAGTCTTGGCAACACAGCTTCTTCATAAAGGACAAAGACCTGCCAAAATTAATAAGCACCATAAGAAAAAAGCATTGACACCTGATCAGCAACAAAACACCACTGCAAACCCATCTCCTCCAAAGAGAAGGACCTACTCTGACTTGAAGCAGTGAGTTTCTGTCAGCTTTGGCACATTTAATGTCAAGAGACTGTTTCTAGTATTGTCTCCTATTCTGAGTAGTGCACCCTAATAACTTAACTCAAAGAGAAAACACTTGGAGCACCTGGGTTAAGCCTGACCATAAGGGAGCACACAGCATAACATCACACTGCAGAGCGCCTGTATTTCAGCATACAGGAACATGCCAGCAGTTAGAATGGTCGTTCTACCATTCATTCATTAAAAAACTGGACTGAGATACAATAGAAATCCTTAATTCCTACTGTTTCTTATAGGAATCCCCAAGCAGTGAATCCGGCCCTACACACCACGCTGCTCCCACCATCCCGCTCAGCACAAATCCCAGCGCTGCTCACAGTGTGAGGAGGGCAGAGGCAGCTCACAGCAGCAACACCTGCAGAGGGAAGGAGCTACAGAGCCATGGGTGCACCTGGATTAGTGCTGCCTTTGGTCACTGCACCTTTAACTATGACCAAATAAGACGCTGACAAAGCTCAAACGAGAAAGCTTCCTGGGGAAAAAAAAAAAAAACAAAAAGCCAAAAGCCCACAAAAAACAAGCAATTGTATGGGATACACATGGCAGGGAGCACACAAGAAAACGTTTGTTTTTCTTTTGTTTGCTGGTTCTGAAATACACTGGCCTCAACGTATTCCTCAGCCCACCGCACGCCGAGCAGATTCCCGCACCCACGGCACAGCTCAGCGGACGTGCACAGAACGAGCGGCCACGGGGCCCCTCGCCCCGGACGGCGCAGCGCGGGACCGGCGGGTGAAGTAGCGGAGCGGGGCTGCGGGCGGCCCTCAGCTCCTCAGCTCCTCGGCTCCTCCGCTGCCCCCACCGCGCACAGCGCGCCCCCACGCGCGGGCTCCGCTCGGCCGCCCCGCGCCTCCGGCTGCCCACACGCACAGCGAGGCCGGGAGCGACGCGCGACGCTCCGGGCAGGGCCCTCCCGCACCGCTACCCCGCCGCGCCGCCCCCGCCGAGCTCCCGCGGGCAGGAGCCGGGGAGGACCCGGCCGGCCGCGAGGCGGCGGCGGCGACGCGAATGGGCGACCGAGCGGC